ATGTCCAGTCAGTGCTGAAATGAGCTGAACAGACATGTGGGCATGGCTGAGGGCGGTTGCACAGTTGTGACATCATAAAATTACAGAAGTCCTGATGGCTTGTTTTAAGGCTCAGTGTCTGAATACAGGCTGTGTCCATTTCTCTGTGGACTGAGCGCTTTGATACTTTCACAGTATTTATAGCCTATAGCACCTAGACTCACAAGGCCAAAACTGTCTTTTGTGAGGTCACTGTGACCTTGACATTTGACCGCCAAAATATTGACAGTTCATCCTTGAGTCCTAGTGAACGTTCGTGCCAAATTTGAAGAAGTTCCATCAAGGCATCAATTTCATACATCCGTACGAAAGGACAGACGATCCGAAAACAATATGCTGTGGGGTAGGCTCTGACTGTTGCCGGTGCGGAGGCATAAAAAGACATGGAAATCTCACTTTTTACAATATGAGACCTTTAAAACATCTGAAAACAGCTGAAATGCATCCGTTTGGTCAGGAGGAGAGATGGCAACACTGAAGTGACTTCAGCCAGCTGTAGAGTAAAAATATTAGTATCAGTTTTATTTTTTTAAGCTTCAGAGTTGAGTAATGCCCAAAAACAACAAACTGACTAATAAGGAGCCCAAAACTTTCCTGAAAAAAAATATAGCATTAAAGATAAATGATAAACAAACCAAATCTCCTAAATGAAAAACGTGAAAAAAAAAAAGACAGATATTTTTTGGAATAATGTGAAAATGAGCTTGCCCTTAGATCAGCCATGAATTGAACAGAACCACTGTACCATGAAAAAAAACACAAACTTCAGGCTCTGTTTCGATCACGCCCTAAGAACATAAATATTTCAACAAGCCAAAGCAAGAGCAGAGAAAGATCGATATAGAACCCCTGGAATGAAAAAGAGCAGAGCCCACAGGTGGATGCTGGGCTGTAAATGTGTAAATGCAGCACAGGAAGCAGCAGCAGCAGGACGGTGCTGCAGCACTTGATGAACGTTTGGTCATGATAGTTGTACAGCTGATTGAAGTGACCAAGAGAACAGAGCTGCACAAGATTTCAGACCCATTCAAATCAGAATTTAAGATCTTATTTTCATTTCCTTCGTATCAGGTGCACAACAGAAAGAATATTTAATTTCCCTTTGACTTTATCAGTGTAAGTGTTGTACAGCCTCTGTATTTGGCCTGAAGTAGCTCTGTAGATTTTACCTCTTCTGTCCTACTTTCTATGCTTAAAAGCTATTCTTGTTCTATTCTACTGCTGCAGTAAAGGAATTATTCTATTCTTTTTTTCCAGCCAGAGGGTTCAAGGACTGATCCGACAAACATTAACTCAAAGACAAGAGGTTTGTGTAGCAATCTACTGATTCAATCCTTCCACTTCAGAGGGAAAAAAGGCTGCAGTGGCCGAGGCAGTTCTAATACAGGATGAATTCGGGACGGTCCAACAATGGGAGAGTTCAGATAATACCACTATAAATATGCTCCGCCTTATCAGTCAACAGAAAACTTCAAACAAATTAAAAGAAAAGTAGTGGTGAGGGATATCTAAGAGCTCAAAGTAAAACGCAAAGCTGTGAATTGCATATAAATGACTCGGTCAACTGGTGTGCCAACAAGCCAAAGCCAGAGTAAACAAACAAAGCTCAAGGCTGATCTATTCACAGCCACACTCCTGTAGAACAATCTGAAAATACTATGTTCACTGTGTTTTCTCATTCACTGTTTCCCCCTGTGACCTTCACTCATTATTCTCACAACAGCCCATTTGTAAATAGATTCAAGGTGAGCGGCTGTCAGCGGATAACAACAGCAAGACTTCAATCACCCCAAGGCAAAGAAAAGTTGGTGATTAAATCTAAATAACATGCACACAGACACACACAGAAAATCATTAAAAAAAAAACAAAAAAAAAAACAGACAACCACACCAGCTTGTTTGGCTGCTGTTAGGAAGTTGTAAACTAGCCCCAAAAATCATCACATGCTAGACGGGTTTACAGCCACGCTAGCCGCTTTTTTGAGGCTTCACTGCTTTGAGCTACATGCTAACATCAGTATGCAAAATGCTCACAATGCTGAGGTGTACCAGGTTTAATGTACCGTGTCCACCGTGTTAGTTGAGCGTGTTAGCATGGTTTGCTTATTCACAATAAAAACAATGAACAATTGTTATTGGTGCTAGAGGTTAGACCATTGTGTATCACAGTCAGTCAGTGGGTTACGCTGTCTGGGAACCATGCGTCGTCATACGTCAGGTATGATGTTTAGATATTTCACAGGAGAAGTGAAACCTGACCCGCTGGTGGTGCTAAAGGAAAAAAGATCAGGTGATCACAGAAGTCCCTGCGATTCATTCTCTGGGGACCGTGCACGCCTCTACCGAACTTCATGACGATTCCGTTTTGAAGAATTTCACTAATAAACCAAAAATATTAAGGGGGCACTAGAGGAGAAGTCTGTAGGAATCATCCTCTGGGGACCATGAAATACACTGTAGCCCAGCTGATACTGTATACATAAACAACAATCTTGATATTGACTCCTTACATAATTTTAAATGACACAGTGTCTACGTTCAACCATTTATGTCTGAACTGCAGTAACCAAAGAGTGATGTTCCCCTCTCAGATTCATTGTAATTCTTTCTACGGATAAGAGAATGTTCAGTATTTTACAGTGAAAAGCAGAGATAGCTTACCAGAGAAGTCAAACTAATTTGTATAGCATGTTTAATGTGTTGTTAAAGCTTGTGTGATCCCTCAGATTTAACTTACTGGAACAGACAAAAGAATAAACAAAGAAAGAATAGCAAACCCCACAGCAGATGACACTGGCAAAATATGTTTAATTATAGTGGATTCTGTTTCGTTGTTAGTTTGCTGGAGTGGACAGTAGGAGAGAGTAGCCTGCAGCCCTCATGCCTCAAAACTGAGTACAAAAGAAATGCTGGAGGCACAAGTTGGCAACTGACCATCTGAAATGATAATCTTAATGGAAGTGATGTGTAAATGTCTGTTTATGCCTTGTTTGTTGTTCCGTTTCCTCTCAAAACGACATTAGTTTTTATCAAATGAGGTTTGGTGATTTATGGTTTTAATGTGGGAAACCAGGACCATGTCCAGATGGTATCAGAGTACTGTAGTAGCTGAATGTGGTTATTTAAATGAATATGCTTATATGCAATACTTTATTACTTCCATAAATTACTCATGTTCCATGCCATAAACATTCCCATCAGATTTAACAAGCCAAGTGAGTGAGTCACATACTTATAGTGACTCTGTGGGACAGAGGGGCAGATCGCTCCCACAGGACAGAAGCTGTGGAATACTCAGACATAAAGGTGACTGGGGACTTGATTGAAATCTTGATTGAACCATCACTGTAAAACTAACATGCAGTGCATGAGCAGATCCGCTCTGGTAATACTACTGTTAATCAGACAGGTAAAAACTTTGGACTAAGTCATCAATGTTTTCATTTATGCTAAGAAATGTGGTCAGCTCATGCCATCATGTTTTGATCCCCACTACAACCAAAAAATAAAATATAAGGTAACGTCATCTTCCCAGTCACTACAAGCTGACTATAATGTTATTTTGCTTATATTATATAAATACGGCTGAATGATATGCAAAAGAAAAAAGAAAAAAAAAGAAAAAGAAATCATATTGTGATTATTTTTGGCAGATACTGTGATTGCGTTGAGTTATGATTTGAGTTGGACTGATCATTTTCCATTTTATTTTCACTGAAAGAAATAGAAAAATGAGGATGGTGTGACTTTTGTTGGGACTTGTACACAAACAAACATGTTCCCTAATGTCTGGGTAAGATGATTTGTAGGCCAGGCCTTCTCTGTCAGATCACAATGCTTCAACTTATGGTGTGTTGTGACACATTTTACCTTTAACCAAAAATTGTAGCTCCTGCGATTTGGATACTGCACTTGGCAATATTGCTATGTCGGTAATGTTTCAATTAATTGTGCAGCCTATCATAAACTATTCCCTTACATTTGTAATTTATGCCTTGAAATTACACATCATCCCCTTGAAGTTACTAATTTATTTGTGTAAAATACTTGATTCATTCCCCAAGTTTAGTAATTCACACTTTCAAATTAGGCCACTTAATGTGTTGGATCAAGTTCAAGTTCATTATTTGTGTCTCTCAAATTGCTTAATTTGCTCCCTCCATCTTGGAGAACCAAAGAGAACACCAGACTTGCAAGCAGGAATACTGAGGTCCTCACACCTGAACATGAACCAAATGCACAACTCAACAAAGCAAAACATACAGGCCGAGTAAGAGCTGTATAAACAGCTGTTGAGGAAACAAACTTCCCATAGACACAAACAAAGCATTCATATGACTGAAGTATGGATTTTAAAGAGAGGTAGCAACTCATGCTAACAGAATGAAAACTATTCCATTTTTATCAGCTTCAATAAAGTTTAGAACTGATTTATATCTGATGGAATGAAAATAAGGGCAGACTCAAAACAGTAAACAAATGTACACAGAGGATTCTTGTGTCCAATTACAGCAATAGTGTAAATGTAATTTGTTCCTCCGGTCCTTGGCCATGCTACTGTATAGATTTGGCCTTTGGACTCCTGCTGTATATTCTGACCCTCAGGGCACCTCTGTGTGTATGTGATGTTTCAGAGCACTGAATCAAGACACTGCCCCGTTACACAATAATATATCAGGCACTGGCCATGCTATTTGTTAGGACTCCAACTCAGAAAGAACAGTGGGAAAGATGTAGGGAGAAAAGACACAGTCCAAACTAAGTGCTCCATGATTATTTAAAATCATTTAGTTCTATTCCACTTCACACATACATAACAACACCTCCAAACATTGTCAACACATATGGCGTCATGCATCTCATTCCTTAGTTATTTTTTCCTTTCAATAATAAATCCCCTTTGGAAACATGTAGCTCCTCCATCATTTATACCCACAATGCATTTTAAACAGGGGCTATACCTTTGGTTGTGATGGCGGGCTGCTCTCCCAGTAGCAGCTTTAGTCTCTTGGCGTGGATTTTACCCTGGTAGTGCGACTGTGCCACCACTGCTGAGGTGAAGGACATGTTACACAGCGTGCAGCACTTATTCTTGTCCACGTCGCCCTCGTCGCTGCCCTAAAAGAAACACAATAACATCTTATCAATGATACATCAACATTCATTTATCTGTGGGAGCTTTAAAAACAGGATTCAATCAAACAAGTCACGTGTATTACAAAGAAAGCAGCGTCTTGTTCTAGAAGACAGCTGCACATTGAACACATCACTAATCTCTACCACTTCTAATTCAGATGAGGGGAGGGGTGCCACATTCCTCGCTGAAAGTGCTTTAATCCTGGCGGGATGCAAATGGAGTCGAGTCTGTTTTAAGGGGTGATAGTGGAGCTGATGGTGGACCGCTCCCTGAGCCTCCATCTGTGCAAGCTGCACCAAAAGCCATTATCCTCAGAGAAGGCAGAGGACACAGAGAAACCCGCCAAGCACTGAGAGATGGATGCTGCCGGTTTTTTTTTTTTTTTACTGAAAAGTGAGAGGGAGGAGAGGAGAGGGTCAAGGAAAGGCTTGATACTCAGAGTGGAGGAAGAGGAGAGGAAAGCGAATTCCATGACTTCATTCAACTGTCTGTTCCTCTGCCTGGCGCACTCCATCAGATACAGGAAGTGAACAGTGTGTAGAAATATGTGTGCGTGTCTTTTCAGCTGAGTTGTCTCAGCTTGAGATGAACCGAGATAATGAGCCCGTTCACCTTCATGATATTCATATTCTAACACTAACAGTTACAACTTTTTATCATGTTTCTGCTAATGTAGCCTTTTGTAGGTTATTGACACCAATGTGTTTAGATGTGTCTCAAACTGACAGCTAGTTTTTCATGTTCGATATTATTCAAGACAAACTGAAATTAAAATACATCATTTCAGAGAAGAGATCAATTATTTGTTTTGACATGTTTTTTTTAATTATCGTTATTTTTTATTTGTACATTTATGTTTTTCATCGTTTTTTTCCATACATTGGTGTTCTCCAGTTGATTCTCCAGCATTAGTTTTTGGTACCAAGTTTGTTTGGTTTTTTTATGGTTAAATATTTGTGTCGACTGGTACAAAAACAGCTTCCTATATTAATTAATTCCAGTTGTGTACAATAGTTGATGTAAAACTGCTGAAACTCACAGGTTTGAACATAATATTGTACAGGAGTGGACCCATGGCAGAGAGAGCCATTATATAGTGCAGGACAAACATAACACTGAGTGTGGAAGACCATGCCAATATTAGGAGTGCTCTGGAAAGCTTTCTCTCTAGGCAGCCGCATTGTCTCCTCATTGGGAACAATTTAAAAAAAAAAAAACCCGCTGGTGCTCAGAACAAATGCTGTATGTCTTGGCTACATAAAGATGAATGAACATGAGGGTCTGCTCAGAGACGAACATGTGGCTGTTTCTGATTTGAATCGACCTCCCAACAGGAGCTGGATGCAGTTTAGATGCTGTTCCAGAACAAAAATGGTTTGTCTTTTGAACAAAGAACAATCCAAAACAGTAGCACTGCTTCTAAAGGCATTTTCATATTAACACTGAAAAACAAACGTCTTGCCATGCATGTTCCATGTTGCCTAGTGCAGTATTTACCACTCAGGAACTCACTGTAGCTCTGTACCAAGCAGCAACCTCCAAGGCTGAAAAATGAAGCCAACACAGAAGTACCAAAAACTGCACTTCTAAGAATGACCCGCGAGTCAATCCCCATAGACTCCCATGATAAAATGCCCAACTTTACAGCAGAAATAAACATGTTCACAGCCTGGTACAAAAAACAACTTTAGTCTCTATAGCTAATATCCTCCTTCATGACAACTGTATGGGGGCAAATTTTTATATAACTCAGTAGTTCAAATTCTATTAAGGCTTAAAGTTCTACATAATTGAGGGTGTGCAGCTTTGAGTGACAGGTGGGTGAGCATATGCTTGCCACAAGCCGGCATGCACCGAAGTGGTGACGGTGGCCCATCCCACTCCGAGTTTCAAAACTGAGTGATGTTGCGGAGGCTACATCCATCTTTATTTACAGTCTATGCTCTGTACTAAACTCTGCCACCTTAGCTACAATGCTACTGTTGCTAGCATTAGGTTGAGTAGGTTCAAAGTCTCAAATAGTGTTTTTTAAACAGTGCATGTTCCATGTCTTTTACCATGCGCGGATAACTGCAGTAACACAACATATGCAATCTGGGATCATTAAGTGTACGGCACTTTCATGCAGGTGCATATGTATGCACTTATTCGTGCAGGATGGGGGGACGATTATTTCAGTGCTTAGAACACTGAGCTCCCCCTTCAACACCAGGGACGCTACAAACGTAGCATTTTCATAGCAACAGTTAGCATACTGACAGGTTCTGTTAGAAAGAGCTGCCGGTATCATAAACTATGACACTTGCCTTTGACTCATAAGCTAGCAACAGCCTAGATCTTCATGGTCCCCAGAGCACGTGTCCTACTTTGTTGATCAGTTGACTTTTCATCGTGTGCCACTATGAGGTTCACAGTTTTGTTTTTCAGTCAAATGTCTCGACAAATACAGAATAGCTTGGCAGGACCTTTGATGCAAATTTCCATGCTGCCTAGAGAAAGAGAAATGTCTGGTGATACCATAGCAAACACAAATTGATATGGATTCTGTGTGAGTGTTTTAACAATTCAATTGCATTGAGTTGAGAAGCCTCTGAAAAAGGACTGTAAAAAATCTATCCTTCAAAGACAACAGCACATTCTTGTATCTATATTTATGGTCAAAAAGAATTTGGAAAGTAGCCAAACTAATTACAAATGCAAACTCGTGATTTAAGCCAATGTTTCCCTGCTTGTACTCATTAAGAATGCTGGACGTGAGCCGGGTACAACAGCTGCCTGTTTACACTGACTTCATTTTAGAGCCTTTTAAACACCATTTGCTTTTTATTCTGCTCTGACGAACCAATAGCTGATTTCAACAGTATTCAATTACTCTCAGCACCACTCGATCACTTTCAATTTACCAGCAGAAGGACTCTTGTATTCAATGCATTAGTCTGTGGTTTATACAGAGAGTACTTTCACTTCTATCCAGAGGAAGGCACGAATGGACGAATGGATTGGACGGCTCATCATTCACCTGCTGTTCCTCTTGTTTGTCAATAATTGCATCTTTCAGCTGACCGTCTCTTAGTGTTACAAACATATGGATTTAATATCTTTTTATTTCACATGAAAACTTATGGTAACAGACATTGCTGTTGTCTGTGTAGTTGTTTCAGTAGCTGTTTACTCTTTTGTTGGGGGAGAAGTCCATTTCAAACTTTATTTGTACTTGAATTTTAAAATCTTTTTAATTAAATTTTTTGTTTAGCTTCATTGTTTATCACTGTTGTTTGCTTGGTTTCATATATAACAAATATAACATCAACCACAAACAGTTCAACATCACTGTGTGCTAAATATGAAGCTACAGCCTAGAATTGGTTAGCTTAGCTTAGCATTAAGTGTAGAAAAAGGGGTAAAACGTTGCCATGGTTCTATTCGAAGGTAACAAAATATGCCTTATAGCACCTCTAAAGCTCACAAATTAATGCATCTTGTTTGTTGACTCACAGAATTTGAACTGTGAGCTTCAAAGTAGCATTAGTACCTTCCAACTGCCCCATCCACTCCAATGTAAACAGAGCAGAAAATCAGGAGACCAACAAGAGGCAGGCCATTTTTAATTCGCTATACATGCCACATTTCTGAAACCACAAAGATTTTTATATCAGTGCGTTGGACAGAGTCTCCTCTCTCAGAAAATAGTGAACTTTAGGCAATAGTGGTTACAGTCTTTGATTGCAAAGCCAGAGTTTGAGAGGTGTGTCTCACCATGATTCCTGTTATAACCAGGTGTAACTAAGCAGTTACCATCACTATGGCAACCATTAACTGCAGCTGGCCACACACAGCTGATTCAGATCAGTTGATTAGACTTGCACACGCTCATAAACACACAGATAAACAGACACATACACAGAGACATACAAAGACACACAACCGTACAACAACCTGGCAGCAGCACACCAGCAGCTCATAGCACAAGTCATTCATTTATCATTGTGGTTTAGCTCCAGCTGTTCCTGAAATGGGAAAATAGTTTAGCTATGAGGGAAGTTACTAAGACAGAAACAGTCTGAAACTCTTTGTCATTTAGGCTCTTCCTACATGTTCTTAATTTTCTGTAAAAAAATGTATTTCAATTTTCACAAAAAATAATGATTTTCACAGCTTGATTCAGCTTTTTGACAGTTTCATGCAAATTTCAGGCCATTCATAAAGCAATGTTTGGCTTAGGCTATGCATGAAGCAATGTATTTCAGTTTCTCTGTGTGTAGGCTACTTCAAATGATTTTATAGATGACACACCTTCAGACTTTTCTCACTGAAATTTTCCCACTTTCCCATCTCTTAATACTACTTCTTCTTACAAATTTGAACCAGCAACTCAGTGTGGCTTCAGTTTGGGCAGAAGCAGTGTTACCACTGCAATTTCCAAAGAAAATTGCAGTTTCTAGTGAATACATCTTGTTCGTTTAACCCGTACGAAAACTAAAGACTAAAATCAAGAAGGGGGTTGTGTGCTGGGTGGAGTGACTTTGTAGAGATGATTACCTCATGATGATAAGATTCCCATACATATAATTTAGGGAGTTTTAGAGGTGCTGGTTGGCAGATAATTTTAATCTCTGGCCCCCTTGTTATGTTAAGATGGGCCAATCAGCTGCTTTATATTTAGCATCCAGGCATGAAGGTTTGCCTAAATCTTCTCCTTTAATTCTCATAAAGAAAGAAAATAAGCATATTTCACAAAATCTAACTGGCCAAGACGTGTTTTTCTTTAGTTTAAGTCCAAACTCCAACCAATCCTACAACTTTCTACACTGCAGCATGATACAACATGACAAGGCCACTGTTGTGATAGATAGCAAAGCCAACAATGGAACCATGCAGAAAAGCCTGAAATTGCTAAGATTTAAGATTAATCACAGAAAATTGGAACAAACCCAACAGCATTGTTTATGCTTTGATAAACTGGATCAAAGCCATGTTGATT